ATACCCATCCCAAAAAAAAAAAGTAAATACAAAATAAAAATCAATGCCACTACTTCAATTACAAAGAGAGCAACAGTTTTATTATACAACCTTCATACTGCAAATACTTCTGTAGCTACTAACCACATCTTCAGCAACACAGGAACCTGAGAAACAAGTTTAAGAAGATGGGCAGAGCGAGAAAGATGAATCAAAACAGTATGAAAATCAATCAATTTAACTGAAGGCCACTAACGACTAACTGGTGCAGTGGAGCACGTGAAATCTTTTGAATATTAATCTTTTGAAAATTAAATATTAAATGTTAAACATCTGAAATGCGTACCGTCACTTGTCTCACTAGTCGCATTTGCGTACCGTTGGACTTGTGAAGCATTTCCAGAAGGCGCTTCGATCACTGGGCGACAGAGCCGGTCGCCGTGCGCACAGACGGGGCTGCTGTTGTTGGTGTGTACAATGGAATTGTGCCACAACTTCCGGCGCGTGCTCCACTAGCGCCCACCTTCACCCCTCCCGTCGACGTTCAATACCACAGAGAAGATCAAGTAAAAATGTGTTATGTATATATTTTCTTCTAATTTTGCTTCATAGAAACCCAAAACAAGGAGCTTAAAACCTTCTTAGAGCTGTTGTGTGACACCTTTTCCCATAACACACAGTCTATGATCTACTGTCTGATTAAAGATATTGATAAATGCAGATTTAAATCAATGCCGATAAGTTTTTGTAGCAGAAATGGAAAGTAAATAAGGTGTGATAACAACATTTGAGCTGCTTTTAAAACGAGGAAATGAACTGCTGCCAGCATTTAGACAGCAATGAGGACACCGTTTTTCTCACCACTGAAGAACAAATATTGACTTATCTTTGTTGTTAAAAGATCACAGCGCAGAAAGGAAACTATTTCCTTGATCAGCCTGAAGATAAGAAAGGTAACCCTGCCATTCCTCATTCTTTCTGAAAAATGCAAATGAGGGAAAGCCTGTGTTTACTGACTCACACGCGATAAGTGACATGCAATAAATGACATGTTGACATGAACCTGTGTAATAATAATAAAGCTTTAATAATGACAGGGTGTCTGTCACAGAAAAACACCTCAGCACCATCATGACCAAGTCACCTATTGTACAAAATCCACTTGTTCATGTCTTTTCTACATAAACACGTGTCCCCTCTGTGTAAAGAGACTCTGAAAGTTTCAGGAAAAAAGATTCTCTCTCTTTTTGTCCTGATCCATTTATATAAAAAAACCTGTCTGAAAATGAGCTGATTAGATTGTGGCCACTTTGTGATGTCACAATGTTTTTTTGGCTTGTGTAACCATTAGCCAATCACCAACGAAGGTAACCACATCCCCTGAATCTCCTCCTAGAGCACCATTGTGTTCTTTGTAACCAAATATCTCTCAGAAGGGGCGTGGGGAGGGGCTCCTTATTTTCATCTAAAGTAACAGACAGAGAATCAGCACTTTTGAAACAGGGCTGAAACAGAGGGGATTATGGGATGCTACAATGATCTGTTTGGTGTTTGGAGCCAAACACTTCAGAGACATGTTTTGTATATATCTGAGACCTATGATATATTGATGAAAAATAGTATAATAGGGGACCTTTAAAGAAGAAACAGGTTTTATAGTTTTTGTCTCGCAACACAGCGTTTGACATTTGTGTTTATTAATGCTTATTTACTCATGTTCAAGAATATAAAATAACACATATTTCAGGGGCTTTAACCAAAGAAGTAAAGGTAGACAAAGTGAAGCAACGTTACATAATAAGAGAAGAGACAGATTTAAAAAATGGCTGCACCTAAATGTGATGTGTTTCAGACTGCAGCTGCATGTGTATAGATCAATACTGACATCTAGTGGGCTACTGCTGGAATAGATCTAAACAACCTGTTCAATTACAGAATAACAAATCAATCAAAGTTTATTTATATAGCCCAATATCACACATTTTACATTTGTCTCAGGGGGCTTTACAGTTTGTACAGAATGAATACGACACCTTAATATAAAATATATACTTTTTGCACTACTTTTTATTTTGTATTTTTGTATTTTATTATATATGTTGCATTGTTGGATGAGCTCAGAGGCCTGTACTACGAAGCCGGTTCAACATAACCTGGATATGTTTGAGTTAGATATCAAGCCAGCTTTGTCCTATCTAGTTAGGTGCGCATTCACATAAGAGGGGTGGTATTTGGAGCATTCGACCAATCACAAACATGGACAAGCGTACTGAGAGCGCAGCGCATCATACTTCCTGAATGAAAAGTCAACTATAATTAGACAAATATGAAGACGTTAAAGTTTAAACATCCATGACTGAAACACTTTATCCAGGATAAAAGCCACATAGCTGCACCTGCAAGGTGAATACAGCTGGTAAAAGAAAAAGCGTTTGAATGCGTTCATTAACAGGTTTATGCAGTGGCGACTGGTCATTAGGGGCAGGTGCACAGCCCCACCTAGTGTCAGCAGAAAGTATTACAAATAATGATTTCAAAAAATGCAAAAAGAAAATATAAAATATATTTTAAGATCATGGTTAATCATCTGATTCATCTGTACATTGCTGTTTTAGTCTGTGTTCTTCTAATTAGTGTCTACAGTGTGTGCCTATTGAGCTGTTTAGAGCCATGTGGGACAAAACCTGATCATGCCCCTCCCTCTCACTGTCTAAGTGAACAGTGACTGTAAAAACTACACTGCGCATGCTCAGAGTATTTTCCCATTGAATGTGTGTGGCAAAAAAAGTATGACCATAGGGGCACTGAGCTGCCATCCCCACCATACGTCATCTCACATAATTCAGAGCTGATTGGCTGTAAGTACGTGTGCCGCGAAAAGTGTGGTGTGTGAAGAGGAGACGAGAGAGCTGCAGTGACGCGTCCTAAAACCCGGAAGTAAGCTGCGCTTGGCTTCCCTCGACAAAAAAGCAATGAGATTTCTCCATAGGATTTTAGAAAATAGCTCGAAATAAGATCTGTGGGAAACGTACCTGTTAGATAAATGCACGTTTTGATTAGCCGGATAACATCCACATGTCTACCCTACTTTTATCATTTTTTAATCATAAATCTATCGATTAGATTTATGATAGACTTTTGAAACTACAAGAAGATAAGGAGGACTTTTACAAAAAAGTAATAGAAATTTTTGTCCAGAAGGATAGGCAAATGGACTTCATCTTCAAGTCAAGGTAAGACCGCAATTTTATTGAAAATGGGATCTTACTAAGAGAGAACAATTCAATATTTAAATGATAAAATTACATTTTTTGGGTATCCTTTTGTTGAACTGTCTTTTTAAAATTAATCGAAGCATCAGACAAAAAAAGCTTTTGAAAATAATATTATATTTTGGTTTAGGTCAAAATATAATATTTGTAAACCTGAAGAGTCAGTGCCAGTGCCTCACCAGCCATGAACCTCACTGCACGTCACTGCTTATATATAGACATCTAAGTTTTTTGTGCCCCACCACTTTTGTACATATAAAAACGCCACTGGGTTTATGATATCACTGCCCCGTCCAAGATACGAGTGGATCTGACTTTAATTACATTTGACTCGAGTGTTTCATCAACTTAATGTGTTGCTTAAAATAATACTTCTGCATACAGTATGTGACACTGTGAGTGTTGCACGGCCAGATACGGCTCAAGAATCTGACTCAGATAAGGAAATATATGATACATTATGATGTGATATGATCAGTGCTTGAATTGGAATACAAAAGGTGCCAGTACTCTAAATCAGCAACTGTTTCAAGTCAATTTATTTATACAGCCCAAAAACAAGTATTTGGCTCAAAGTCATAGTCAAAGTCATATCCTAGTATATCCTATAATGCTGGTGGGTTTGTCTCTTTACTGTATATTTTAGAAAGGCTCACTGTACTTAAACAAAATGACTCAGGGTGCATCTGAGATTAGAGGGGGTGCAGTGGGAAAGTGCTATTTTTATAAGTGGGGTATGGACCTAACACCCTCGAGGGGGATCCGGGGGCCTGCTCCCCCGGGAAGATTTTTCTTTAAATATTGAAGTTAAATGCATCAATCTGGTGCACTTTGAGAGCAAAATGAAGAGATCTATGGATACCTCTCAACATCCATTTGAAACAGACCTGTAAACAGATTTACTTTTTCTTTATGGATATTTTACAAATCACTCCCCTTTTAAACTCTATTCTTGTTTTACTGTCATATAGTATTTCATTTTTAGTGAGTTACTCAGATGAGTACCAGGAGACAGTTACTGAGTAAGAAGTAACGGTACCAGATGGGTACAAATCAGAAGTCCCGGTACTGCGTGCCGGTGAGTACCGGCCCAATTCAAGCACTGATTCTAACCTAATGTTAGATTATTTTACCTCACATGTACAGCTGACGAAGAATCGCTGTAAAGAAGAACAGGATGTCTCACACCGCGGTATTCACGTTTGAGGGCGTGTCATGACCGTGGCGTTGCTAAAAGCATTTTTATGAAGTTTTCCAAAACGTATTTATAAGAAAGTTCAGAAAATGTGACTATTAATTTATAAATTAATGAGTTCTTAAAACATGTTCTCATTGTTAATTAAGTGTTGCTTATTTAAATGCACATTGAAAAAAAATCAATTTAGGGCAAATAAATGACATTAGACAATAGAGTTTTATTGACTTCACCATCGGAACCGTTTTTACAGTGTAGACAGTTTGGCCTAGCCCTATTGTTGGAAGCAGAATTGTATTTACTGGATGTTTCTAAATGGCAGTCTATATATTTGATCGACAATAACGAAGCTAGCATCAGATGAAATAAACATTTTTCAACATCAGTAGAAGAAGTTGCTGATCCCGGATCTTATTATCACGGTCTGCCTTACGTGCTGCACCTCAGTACTTTTCCACTGACCCCGCCTCCACCTCACCCGACTGGACAGCCACACCCACCCCGTCAGCTCACCTGGGCTCCTTGCTGCTTCTCATCTCCAATCAGCTAGTATATAAGCCTCTCCTGCACACTCACTCATTACCAGATTGTTCTTTGAACTCAGGCAAAAACTCTTCTGATTCCCGGGAAACCTGCCAGCCTTCTATCACTCACCTTGAGATCATCTTCCATCCCACAACTATACAGTGTGAGTACATATACAAACTTCAACAAACTTGCTAACGCATGGTTTGACAAAATGCATTTTCCTTTGTTTTCACCACAACTAAAGTGAACGAGTGCAGTTGCCATATTTGTGTGTGTGTGTGTGGTCACTGAGGGCCCTCTCTTGCTCAAGGGCCCCTGGGCACGTGCCCAGTGTGCCCTGTGGTTAATCCGGCCTTGGCTGTAACATAAATATAGTGAAGTAAAAAGTACAACATTTCCCTTTTGAGTTGTAGTGGAGTATATAAAGTGGCACTAACATACTTTAGTAAAGTTCAAGTACCTCCAATATGTAATTAAGTACTGTACAGTACTTGAGTACATCTACTTAGTTATTTTCCACCCCTGAAGTTTTTATATTTTACAGATGGGTTATGAAAAATCCTGTATTCTCAGAGAAGGAATATCCAATCAAGGATTTAACCAAGCTCTTCCCCATTGTTAATTATTTAAAATAATATTATTTGTTCTTCTTCGTGAAAGGTCTTCATCATAAAGTATACATTCAAATTGCAGCTTTAATTTTATTAACAGTTGTATTAAATATGTTTAACTTTGACTTCCCATTGGTCAAAGACATAAGGGGCGGGATCATGGTCTTAATGTTGAAATTCAGCACTAAGATTTGATTTTCATTTCTTAAATGATGGCTTTCAGAAATAACAAAGAAATGTGTTTTATGTTAAATATGTTCTATGAATGACTTTCCTAGGTCTCATCCAGAATGATGAAACTCAGTGTTTTCCTTCTCATGCTCCTCGTGGAGACGTGCTCTGCCTCCACTTATCGTGAGTATGAATGGTTTATTTATATTTATATATATATATATATATATATATATATATATATATATATTTATATATGACATTTTCACTATAAAACATAACAGGGAAGTGAATGTAAGGCTGTCCGTTAGCAAGAAAAGCAGGTTTATACAAATTAAGTTTAATTTTCTAGATCAGTGGTTCCCAACCTTTTTGTCTCGTTTACCCCTTGAGCTGGTCTCCATTCTATAAGAGCCCCCTCACTCATCTGTGATGATGCGCCCACATGTTTTCTTGTTAAACCCTTTTCTAATCGTATTTAACCAAACTGCTCCTTAGTTGATAAGTCACCCTTAATACAAATGCATTTAAACTTGACCTTTACACTTATTCTATCAGTTTCAACATCTTTTGTTAAGACTAGAGCTTTTATTGAGACAGTCGACCTTGCTTGTCTTTCTTAAACTTTGATAGTTCTTGGGGCAGGACACCAAGCTTAAGACAATTGATTTAAAATGGTTTATTTTGTCCCCGTACCCCTGATTGGGAACCACTGGTCTAGTTTATAGCTTTAGCTCCAAAATCCTTTGGATTGTGGTGGAAATACGAGTTTTTCATCAGTTATGTAATGCATGAAATATTGTAATGTCACTGCTCACATTAGATATACACTGTATGTTTTGCTGCTCCAATAACTGGTTATTGTGGTAATACTGTTTAAATGTAACTGTGAACACATCGCCATGTAAGAAATCCCAGCAAAGCGACACAAACAAATACAGAAAACGCATTCAATCTCCAGTTCATCAGCATGTGTTCAGCGTTTGGAAATAAAACACTGCATAGACATTAAAACACTGATCAACATCTTTATCAAGTGGACAACACGTGCATGCTAAGGCAACATGCTGCAAATTCAGAAAGCGTAACCCAACTCACAATGGAATAGTTTTTAATGATCACCGTTCACAGGTCTATCAAGTCATCATTTACTTTCTGAGAAACGTGCAGCATTTCTCTGTTTGTCATTTGTGTTTTTTTCTGTTTTCTTTAGTTGTTGTGCGTTGAATATTCAGGACCAGTTATCTGTTGGAACAATAATGTAGCTTAAACCATTTTCCAATGTGTGTATTATAATTATATATTCAACTGTCTCTTTCCTAGAAAACGTGGCGTTGCGTGGAAAAGCGACCCAGTCAAACCGTTATAACCACGTGTTTGGATCTGCCAGCAGCGCTATTGATGGAAACCGTGACAATAAGTTCAATTCTGGATCGTGCACCCACACTGATGCAGAAAGCAACCCCTGGTGGAGAGTGGACCTGCTGGAGCCCTACATCGTCACCTCCGTCATCATCTCCAACAGAAGAGACTGCTGTTCAGACAGGCTTCAGGGGGCACAGGTCCACATCGGCAACTCTTTAGGCAACAATGGTGCTTCAAACCCAGTGTAAGACATTTCCTGCACACATTTTATTCATTTGTTTTGTGTAACTGTCTGAGCATTTTGTTTATCTTCTCCTCTCCCCTGTTCATTGCTCACCACCAGTAGACAGAGGTGTATTAAGATGCATTACTCGAGTAAAAGTACAGATCCCCTAGTTTCTAAATATTTCATTACAAGGAAAATTCCTGCATTCAAAATGTTTCTTAAGTAAAAGTATTATCAGCAAAATGTACTTAATGATTAAATGTACACATGTATGTGACATTTCTAGATATATTCATGCATTAAGAAGCATTTTACAAGTTTAATTTTATTTATATGATTTGACTGTTTTGTGACTTAAAGAGTTAGTCCCCTAGTTTAATTGTTAGAGATACATTTAGTTAAAAGTAGCTAAAGCTGTTTAATGAATGTACTGGAATAAAATGACATTGTTTCCGTATTGAAATGTAGAGGAATAGGAGTAGAAAGTAGAATTACATGGAAATACTCAAGTTAAGTACAAGTACCTCAAAACTGTAAATGTACTACCCACCTCTGCCAGTAGATTCTCATAGAAACTGTTACTAAATGTTTCAACCATGTCATTTTACTTATTTGCATTGCATATAAAAAATATAGGCAATGCTGAAGTGCGTTAAACTTGCATCGTCTTTCATATCTCGCAGTGGGTGCCCCACTGATTGCAAAAAGGAGTCAGATTGTATAGAAGTCTGAGGAAATTACCAGTTACCTTTTATCTAACTGTTGAAGCCTTAGGGGTATAACATGTCATTCATGTTCTTTCTTTCTCACTTTTGTTCTCTTTCTTTTAGGGCTGGTACAATTTCTACAATAAAGGCATTGTACACTCTGACTTTCACTCATCGTGTGGAGGGACGCTATGTGACTGTGCGTATACCGGGTTATAGAAAGGTCCTTACCCTCTGTGAGGTGGAAGTCTACGGGTACCATGCCCCAACTGGTGAGGGTTTGGGATCTTGCATAAATAATGTGTGATTTCCATCTAAATAAGGAACTGTCATATAAGCCAAGTGGCTGAAAAGTGAACTCGGTGCACTGCTCCTAACACTAAGATGGGTCAAATGCAGAGAAACCATTTTGTTACATAGTAAGTATGCCCACTGTGTAATGACAATAAAAGTATAAAGAAAAGTGCCTTAAACCTGCATTCTTTCTAAAAGTCTGATTGTGTAGAAGTCTATGCAAAATTGTCTTGCAACTCACTTGATGTATTACTGCTGGAAAGAGTGTACCCATTAGTTTATGATCTCAATTGTTTGTTTCAAGTCTTCTTCAATCCAGCATGATGTTCAAGTTGTAAAATATGGTCCCATTAATATGAAAAAGAGAAAGGATGTACCAGCCTTTCATGTCACTTATGATTACTAAAACAGGTCTTATTTTATTTAAAGTTTAATTTGCCAAAACTGAATGACACATTTAGTTAAACTTAGTGCAGTTGTAGTTATATATAACTTTAACTATAGACTCAATATATTATAGACTACAGTATAATATTACTTTAATTCCTCTTTTCCAATAACACATAACTATATTGTAGTTGTTTGTATATGGTGGGGTTATCACTTTTATGTCCTTCATCCTGACGGCAAATTAAATCAAATCTTTTGAGAGTCATGGTGAAACGGTATAATAAAAAACAATCTGCATCAGGAGTCATACATCTTATTTATTTAACCTAAATCTTTGTTTTGTTGCAGGAGAGAACCTGGCCATTCAAGGCAAAGCCACACAGTCATCAGTGTATGGGGCTGCCGATGCAGATAGAGCCATTGATGGGAATCGGGCCTCCAAGTGGGGTGACGGTTCCTGCAGTCACACAGCCAAGGAAAGGAACCCCTGGTGGAGGCTGGCTCTGCCCAAAACACACAAAGTGTTTTCTGTTGAGATAACCAACCGATATGAAGTCCACGAACGACTCAATGGAGCCGAGATCCGCATTGGAGATTCTCTTGTAAACAATGGTGCTGACAATCCAAGGTAACTTACAGCCTGTCCTATTACAATACTAATATTAAAAAGTCACTAAATTGGTATTTTGTTGGAACACGTTTGAGGAACAATTATTCAGTTTTTCTCTCAAGTTTACCCTGTTGCTACATTTTGGATTAAAAATCCTTACATTGCCAAGAAATAGGATTGGAGCGGGAATACCCTTCATTTATGAATGATTCCTGCAATGTGTTCCGATCTGATTACAGAAATGGACAAATACCAAGGTCGCCAAATGAAAGGCCTGATCGAGGGTCGTCAATTGTGATTCTGTGAAAACATTTATTTAAACATTACTGAAATATAAATATTGTTCTTTATCAAGTCCTAATTAAAAGATCTGCAACCAACATTCTAACCAAGTAAAGCGTAGAAACCTAATGACGCTTTGAGTGCATATTGAACTTAAAATGAAAAGCCTATTACTTCAATAAACCCTTCCTGAGGTTAATGTAGTGATTTCTGCTTCTTCTACAGGTTTGCTGTAATCACCAGCATCCCGGCAGGTGAAACTGCTGAGTTCCAGGTTCCCAACGGGATGGACGGCCGCTATGTTTACATAGGTATCACTGGAAGATGGGAGTACCTGACCCTCTGTGAGGTGGAGGTGTTTGGCTCTGCACTGGATTAGCATTCAATGTAATGGATTTGCAAAGATGCTGTAATGTGTACACAAAGCATCCAAAATAAAATTTGCATCTTAAATTTCATTGTTTGCATGACGTCAAGATTTACTGGTGGAGATTGCAATAAGTCTGCCTTGACTTTTGCTTTTACACGGGACTTGTACACCTTTTGGGAATGTGCTTGTTTTATGTCATAAGAAAACAACTGATACATTTTTTTCTATCAATCATTTAAGACCAGTGAAAGCAATGGTTCTGAAGGCAGGTTTTTTTTTTTATTTAAATACAGACAAAATAGACAAATATTATAAAAGACATCTGAAAGCTTTCTTACCCAAATTTAGATCAGAAGATCGATCCCCATCATGTCTGTGAGATTGGTATCTTGATAACTGAAGGGCCACAGACAATATTAAAGTTCAAACAACTAATGTATGTCTGGAGGCCCAAACAAAGACCAGTTTCCTCTGTATGCCTGAGCCGTTTGTGTTTTTCTGTAGAAAGCATTAATAACAAGACTTCCTTTGGCAACAAATACAATAAGAAAGAAAGAGAACCTTGTTAAGGCCATACAGTTGTATTTCACAAAGAATTGGGTATTTACAAAAAAGTTCTGACTGGGCACAGTTAGAGGCAGTCTACTTGTTTTGCCATAAAAAACACAACTCTTTCTGTCATTTTACAACTGGATTAGGAATGAAAGCGTGCCTGCTGAAAGGTGAATGATATGCAGTAAAAATTGTATTTAAAAGCTTCCAAACATGGGAACATCATTTTCCAAAGACTCTTTAAACACTGCTGGCCTCTAAAGGAACATTTCAACAACTTTTGCATAAAAATACTTACAAATAAATTATAAAAATAGCGTACTACAGAAGAATCTTTCCCCAGATCAACACTGTGCAGAACAATAGAAGTCAGATTTGGTCAAGTTTGCAAAGGGTATTGCTTCACCGTATGTGGACATCAATGATTTGGCCTGCCAGACAAAATGTACTAAAGTCAAAGAAAATAAATTCCTAACATTAAGAAATAATACTGATTTATTTATATTTATTGATAAACGCTGTGAGAATGGATCTGCGGAGAGCATTTTTCCGCGATCCCAACTCGTCTATTACCAGCGTTCAGGGAGCTCTATGCAAGTCAATGGGACTCCCTGATAGTTGAGACTCGACGCTAAAGGGCCCCCCCTTGCGTTGGAAAGTGACGACAGGGACCCTGACATAACGTCAACATAGGCCAAGTTGGGAGGGAGAATGTGTTGAAAAAAGACACCCCTGATTTAAACGAAGGAAAAAACACCTTCAACCAAAGGATACTAAAATATGCCGCATTGCTACGAATCTTTTGTTAAAAGTTTTTTATACACTATTATTATTTTTGCTATTTTTTAAATAAACAGATGACTTAATTTAGATGCAAATTGATCGATTGACCATTCAGAAATGAATACAGTAATTGAATATATATATTATTCAGAAATGGGCCATTGCGCTTAACTAGTACATTTTAATTTTGTAACTTTAATTATATTTTGATGCTAATACATTTGCACCTTTACTGAAGCACGATTTTAAATGCAGCACTTTAACTGCTAACAAGGGGACTTCACAATTGTATTTGTATTGGTACTTCTTGCACCTCTGTACTGCTATACTTTGCATGTAGTTGTTCTCCAACTTGTGCACCGTATCAATGCTTTATTGTGCTCCTCGCAGGGATAGAACCAAGCTGGTGTACTCCATGTATAGCCGCATGTCTGCAGACACAGTGAAGGGGAACCTGATGACGCTGGGGGTGGACTTCTTCGTCCTGGAGGATTCCTGGTGCACCCGGAGAACCAGGTACCTCCACACCACCAGAGCCCTCTCACAGCCTCTCACAACCTGTTTTCTGTCATATTTTATTTGATAATATGATAACACTGTATTGCAAGATAAAGTCTGGAATCTTTCCTGCAACATCAACAAAGAATAATATTTAAGGCAAGTGTTCAGACACTCAACAAACATTACAATCACAGAAGATAATATTTCAGAATCAGAAACAGGTTTATTACAAGGTAAGTTTACACGTATGAAGAATTTGAGTTGGTGTCGTGGTGCATAAAAACAAGAATTAAAAACACAGGAAGAGAACTAGATAAATATTTAAAATAATACAAAATATATAGTGAAATATAATATAACAGTATTTACATTGCATTTGATCTGGGGTTAAACTTTATTTTGCACTAAAGAGGAAATATTCTGCACATTTTCCGGTTCATAGTTCTATCTCTAATGTGGCACACAAACCTATATATCACACTACAGAAGAGGGGAAACCCCTACAAGCATAATAGGGCCTCTGTAACTGGTGCTGGAAAGAGTGTTTCTGTATGGTTAAATCATGTCACCCTGTATTCTGTATTTGATGGTAACCACTCATGTGTGCATTTTAGGACATGGTTATGTAAATATATTATATATAATCATTTAAAATATCTAAATTGACTTGAATTGCAGGACAAATAGTGTGTCATTCTCATTAACCATGTCTTCCTTTCTCTTCGCTCAGGCCCGGGTGCAGCATGCCAGAGATCTGGGACATTGAGGATTCCCAAAACGTTGGTAAAGTTCCCCTTTGCACCCACTTCACCACAGTCTTCTCCAACGACATCTACAAAGTTCTCCAAAGTTCTCAGATAACACCGTGAGATGGACTAGTTCAGCACCTGTTGATCTTTCACTAGGTTTTGATCAGTCACTGCCATTGCTGCTTTTTACTCGAAGCCCAACAGTTCCCCCTCTTTGCGGTGCTCTGAGTCACTGAGCGGTTGGACATTTCACCCTGACTTCCCAGTGTCTGTGGACTGTTGCCAACCATCTTTACTGCTGCATTGTTTTCATACAGCAACATGTGACATGCTGTTCATAAATCAGTATTATTTCTTAATGTTAGGAATTTATTTTCTTTGACTTAAGTACATTTTGTCTGGCAGGCCCAATCATTGATGTCCACATACTGTGAAGCAATACCCTTTGCAAACTTCACAAAATCTGACTATTATTCTGCACAGTGTTGATCTGGGGAAAGATTCTTCTGTAGTACGCTATTTTTATAATTTGTGTGTAAGTATTTTTATGCAAAAGTTGTTGAAATGTTCCTTTAGAGGCCAGCAGTGTTTAAAGAGTCTTTGGAAAATGATGTTCCCATGTTTGGAAGCTTTTAAATACAATTTTTACTGCATATCATTCACCTTTCAGCAGGCACACTTTCATTCCTAATCCAGTTATAAAATGACAGAAAGAGTTGTTTTTTAAATGGCAAAACAAGTAGACTGCCTCTAACTGTGCCCCGTCAGAACTTTTTTGTAAATACCCAAATTCTTTGTGAAATACAACTGTATGGCCTTAACAAGGTTCTCTTTCTTATTGTATTTTTTGCCAAAGGAAGTCTTGTTATTAATGCTTTCTACAGAACACCATAAATGGCTCAGGCATACAGAGGAAACTGGTCTTTGTTTGGGCCTCCAGACATACATTAGTTGTTTGAACTTTAATATTGTCTGTGGCCCTTCAGTTATCAAGATACCACTCTCACAGACATGATGGGGATCGATCTTCTGATCTAAATTTGGGTAAGAAAGCTTTCAGATGTCTTTTATAATATGCGTCTAATTTGTCTGTATTTAAAAAAAACTTGCCTTCAGAACCATTGCTTTCACTGGTCTTAAATGATTGATAGAAAAAAATATATCAGTTGTTTTCTTATGACATAAAACAAGCACATTCCCAAAAGGTGTACAAGTCCCGTGTAAAAGCAAAAGTCAAGGCAGACTTGTTGCAATCTCCACCAGTAAATCTTGATGTCATGCAAACAATGAAATTTAAGATGCAAATTTTATTTTGGATGCTTTGTGTACACATTACAGCATCTTTGCAAATCCATTACATTGAATGCTAATCCAGTGCAGAGCCAAACACCTCCACCTCACAGAGGGTCATGAACTCCTCTCTTCCAGGGATACCTATGTAAACATAGCGGCCGTCCATCCCGTTGGGAACCTGGAACTCAGCTGTTTCACCTGCCGGGATGCTGGGGATTACAGCAAACCTGTAGAAGAAGCAGAAATCACTACATTAACCTCAGGAAGGGTTTATTGAAGTAATAGGCTTTTCATTTTAAGTTCAATATGCACTCAAAGCGTCATTAGGTTTCTACGCTTTACTTGGTTAGAATGTTGGTTGCAGATCTTTTAATTAGGGCTTGATAATGAACAATATTTATATTTCAGTAATGGTTAAATAAATGTTTTCAAATCATGTCACAGAATCACAATTGACGACCCTCGATCAGGCCTTTCATTTGTCGACCTTGGTATTTGTCCATTTCTGTGATCAGATCGGAACACATTGCAGGAATCATTCATAAATGAAGGGTATTCCCGCTCCAATCCTATTTCTTGGTAATGTAAGGATTTGTAATCCAAAATGTAGCAACAGGGTAAACTTGAGAGAAAAACTGAATTGTTCCTCAAACGTGTTCCAACAAAATACCAATTTAGTGACTTTTTAATATTAGTATTGTAATAGGACAGGCTGTAAGTTACCTTGGATTGTCAGCACCATTGTTTACAAGAGAATCTCCAAAGCGGATCTCGGCTCCATTGAGTCGTTCGTGGACTTCATATCGGTTGGTTATCTTAACAGAAAACACTTTGTGTGTTTTGGGCAGAGCCAGCCTCCACCAGGGGTTCCTTTCCTTGGCTGTGTGACTGCAGGAACCGTCACCCCACTTGGAGGCCCGATTCCCATCAATGGCTCTATCTGCATCGGCAGCCCCATACACTGATGACTGTGTGGCTTTGCCTTGAATGGCCAGGTTCTCTCCTGCAACAAAACAAAGATTTAGGTTAAATAAATAACATGCATGACTCCTGATGCAGATTGTTTTTTATTATACTATTTCACCATGCCTCTCAAGATTTGATTTAATTTGCCGTCAGGATGAAGGACATAAGGGATAACCCCACCATATACAAACAACTACAATATAGTTATTTGTTATTGGAAAAGAGGAATTAAAGTCATATTATA